ATGAAAGCTACAATCCTCTACGTTAAATGCTAAATAGAGAGATCGTATGAAAAATGAGCCCCGATACGTAGCAAATATTCACCCCAAGAACTCTTTGGTTTCCATTGCAGCTTATTAATTATAAAATTCAAAGAGAACACCCTAAGTTCTAAACTGGGACCAATTCAGGAACCGGTCTCTTTGGTACATTCAAAGAAGACCCAATTTAATCTCTGTGGGAACACAGAAGAATATAACCCCAAATATAAGCTAGCGTACAATGTGGGGACATGTTCCATTTTCATCTTGCCATATCCCGCTGGCTATACTGTAACGACTTATTTATTTTTAATTTACAACAAATTTGAAATGATAAAATACTGAATTAAAAGTCATACAGATATATATTGAAAATATGAACTGTCAATAATTTTGAAAATATGTCAATTTAACAAGAATTCGATTCGATTAACTGGTGTCTCATTCACTGGCAATATGGCACGTTCTTGTCATGCTGTCAGAGCTGTTAATTCCAGTGGCGGTATATCCATATCTATTTTACATCTCTCCATAACTGCATCCGATCACTTTAAAACCTGAAAAATTTGAACACAGCAGCAGAATTTTTCTTATCTTTATTTTTGGGGGGTGGATGGGGAGGTGGGTGGGATTTTTAGCTAACTATGTTGGCAGCTTTTGCACTCGCCACTTGTTTAACAACGCATGAATGACGTCACGATATGACGTATTTTAGAATGTAACTAAATTCGGAAACAATTAGGATTGATTCCGGAAAAAACGGAGTTCTACTTTTATTAAACCAGTTTATCCTAATATGATAAACTTAATTAATCAAAGATCAAAACTGCTTTCATTTTATATACATGTCTCATGGGTGATCAACCAATTTTGCTTTCGTTTTAAATATGTCTCATGTGCGATCAAACCCTTTCTCGAACCATAATAGTATGTGTGAAATGTATAAATTCGGCTCCTTTTGTTTTTCAAGGATAAATATAATCAACAAAGATCTAGAATTTGGAATGATATGGCTACAGTATTAATTTTTTGCGCAGACAAGATAAGGCAAGATGAACGTACAAACCGCCGAACCATTATTTTTGGCAAGCCTGTGCTTCACTGGTAGGCAATGAAAGTTACAATCCTCTACGTTAAATGCTAAATAGAGAGATCGTATGAAAAATGAGCCCCGATACGTAGCAAATATTACCCCCAAGAATTCTTTGGTTTCCATTGCAGCTTATTAATTATAAAATTCAAAGAGAACACCCTAAGTTCCAAACTGGGAAAAATGTACTCTTTTTAGGGGTTTTACAGTCTTAAAATGATAGAAATGCATTAAAATGGGGAAATTGCACAATCTTGACTCTTTGAAATGCAGATGTTTATAAATAATATAGGGGACAACCATTGCCCAAATAGATATTTGAATGGTAAGCATATTTTGTGTTCTTCTATTCAATGGAAAAAACTATTTTGGGATAGGCTTTTGGTCTATGTTAATTAAATCAAAAGGTTCTTAAAATTAGCCTATTTTTTCTCGAAAAATCTGACAAATCTCACTTGAAATTATTTACCATACAGTTTTACAAATTTAATTTTGAATCCATACTGAATCATAGAAATTTTGAAATGACCTCTGAAGGATCCAAGATTCTACAATGAGGTAATACCTAAATAGCACACATGCTTAACTTCACATCCATATAAATCGAATAACTGATGTTTTGTTTTATTTCGTCACATTTTTAGAACAATTTGACAACCTCCATGCTTATTTTGTATTTTGTAAAAAATAGATGTCTGTGACATATTGTAAAAGTTGACTTTTTGTATACGTTGCATGTGACGATTCCGTACATGTCTTCACTAGAGACTTCATCTGGTGATATATAATGTGAATTTTGTGTGTGTCTTTAGTATAAAAAGCTATTTTGAAAGACATGCATAATGACAAATGTTAAAAGTCTGAATTGTAACAATTTAGTCTCAAAGAAAACCTCATAATACAAAGACAATTGAATGCTGTATTTTTATGTTAAATGTTGAATCGATTTAGTTAGAATTTATTGCTACTGTCTGAAATGTTAAATGTCAGTTTTTTGTGAACATTTGTAATGTACATGTTTAAAAACATTAAAAAAGGACTTTTTTACACCTCTGGAATGATTAAGTTTAAGATGTCTAGCAAGTTTTGTCTTAATTAAGTATAATTTAAAATGTCAGTTTAGAGGCTAATAGATATGGACTGTTTAAGCTGTAACTGAATGTTACCCTGGTGTTGATGATATGAGTAAGAATGATGAGCATAGTTATACATGTTGAATGTTAATACCTAGGAGAAACACTACAGTAATTTGAACAAACAGCACTGTTCTGTCAGAGCAGTTAAAAAATTTCATACTTAACTTACTTTTAAATATTTTATCATCTGAACTTACATGGATGCTGGAATTATAGCTATAGTAGCTCACCATCAAGATAAACTATATGCCATTCATTTTCATACTTCACAAACTGGGTATTTAAATAAGCACTGAAAAACTGTTTTAAAGCTTTTTAATCGCGAAAGATGTCTCAAATTTCCAGGAGAAATATATCCTATACATATATATGGGAAATTTGTGTAATACAAGTGTGTTACTTAACAATATACATATGATTGGTTATGGAAAAGGCAAAGAATACATTCATTTATCTTATTTTATTATACCTCAGTTATCATTTTCTATATAAAATAAATACACAATATTGACACTATTTCCAAATTGCAAGCATTGAACTATTTAACTGGTCAATAGTTTCCAACTATTTTCCCTCGATAAAGCTATTTGACTGCAAGCGTCATTATATTTCGCGGAATTTCAACTGCTGCTACAGGATTGGCCAATGGGTTTTTAACAATTCATTCCCGAGTTGTTCGAACACACACCAAGTCGCATTAGACGATAGGATCATGGCTCAGTCAGTCAAGTTATTTAAACTTGCAATTTCCTATATAAATAAGAAGATGTGGTATGAGTACTTGTTATTGGAATGTATATTTACAATCGGAGGATAATTGTCATCACTAGGTTCTGTTGTCTCTTACAAATGTAAAAATGAATTTTAGTCCGCTGTGTCGTTCAGTCCTTGGCATAACTTTTTGTCTGTTGTCTCTTTCGGTATAATAAAACAATTATTGACTGGATATTCGTGGAATAGTAATTTTACTGTCCCCTTGGATACAACTATTGCCCTCAGCTATGCATCAGGGCAATAGTTGCACCTCAGGGGACAATAAACTTACTATTCCACTCATACTCAGTCAATAAATATGACAGATACAAAGAACATTTAAATGGCATTTTTAAGCCACTCATTAATATATATTGAAAAGCAAAATTAATCATTGATGAAAGATTTAAGCAAAAACTTACAGGTGAGCAATTCAGGCTCTTGAGAGCCTCTTGTTCATTGTTCATTGGTTAATGTTAAGTTTTCATGGTTTGGTCTGTATCTCAGGCACTTTTAGCAATAGGTGAACTATATGTGGTGTATGGATTGATTGTAAGGACTAAAAACTTCTCTCAAGTTTTTGTTTTTTCTGGATATTTTTAAAACAACATAATGGAGCAAATGATTTCAAACAATTTCGTATTTGAATACAACTAAAAAGGAGCATATCATTTCCCTCTTTGTATATCTGATTACCTATTAAAGTTTGGAAATCAGTTTAAAATATTGTTAGGTAAATTTATCTTACATAGTTTTAATGTTTCTACCCCAGGAAGGACTGGAACCTTTTTCCCCCTCAAAATATATTGTACTTAAGTTTTCCTTTTACTATATTCAGAATGTCCATCCTTTCATATTGTCAAGTATATAGATGGTCAAACATGAACCATGAAAATGAGGTCAAGGTCAGATGACACCTGCCAGTTGGACATGTACACCTTACAATCATTCCATACACCAAATATAGTACCTATTGCTTAGAGTATCTGAGATATGGACTTGACCACGAAAACTTAACCTTGTTCACTGATCAATGAAACGAGGTTGAGGCCAAGTGAAAACTGTCTAACGGGTATGAGGACCTTGCAAGGTACGCACATACCAAATATTGTTATCCTATTACTCATAATAAGAGAGAAATTAAGAATACTAAAAATCTTAACTTTTTTTTCAAGTAATCACTGAACCATGAAAATGAGGTCAAGGACGATGGACATATGACAGACGGGAACTATACAAAACTTCATAACATAAGGCATCTATATACAAAGTATGAAGGATCCAGGTCTTCTACCTTCTGAAATATTAAGCTTTTAAGAAGTTTGTTAATACCGCTGTGGCCGCCGCTGCCGCGGGATTACTATCCCTATGTCGAGCTTTCTGCAACAGAAGTGGCAGGTTCAACAAAAACCATCCAGAAAAAAAACATGTAAATATCAGTAGTAAAAGACAACAAAAACACAGCTTGATATAACTTGATACACTATATCTACGATTAAAAAATTAAAGTTTTAAAAACTTAGAATTATTCAAAAAGTTTTTTTTTTAAATTTTGAAAATACTGATGGTTTTTATCATTCGAATAAGAAGCTTCTGTGCTATCAGGAAGTAAAGAAATACAAATTGTAGAGTAATTATTCTGTCTCACGTTCCGATTTGTTCATCTGTTATGAAGGTCATTTAACCTTAGACATTTTAATTTTTATTGGTTACTGTTGTAGCCTTAATTAATTAAGCTGCAATATCAATGGCTCTTTGTAAATGTTTGGTAAAAACTGACAAGTTTAATGTGAATTATTGTCACATGCGGAAAAGTGGGTGTCATATATTGATTTCAAGTTCCAATTTAAAAGATACTGTTGAAACAGACAAAACGATTTGGACTCTTACCATTAACTGAAATTTGACTGCAATTAATAACATTGACAAAAGCCGGTAGTATTATTTCTTTTGTGTGTTCCCCCGTGGCTAGAATAATGATTTGATAAACGCTGAGACTGATGATGACGATCAGAGATTTTCCTCTAATCATTGCGGCTATCGTAAAATCTCTTGTATTGGTTTATTTTTTTAAACACAATATCAATTTAACTTTATCATATACCTTTGAGGTACATTATCTGTAAATGGACATATTTTGTAAATATTTGTTAATGACAGACAGTTAGATTATGGATTTATGCTCTAATATGCAGGCATAGAATACAGAAAGGTAAGTAAATGTGTTGTGGACTATTTTTTTGTCATATGCTCAATTTTGATTATATAGATATATTGTATATATTTTTAAATTGGATTTTTTAAGACACTTTGGTATTTAAGAAAAAGAAAAGACAAAATGTTATCTAGTCATAATTATGTGAAGGTGTATGGAAAAGAGAATGTCAGAAAGCTTTAAAAGCTCTAAATTTACCTGACATTATACAAATGATGTTCACCAAAATGTCAGATAGGATTAGTTATAGTTTTGCCATTACATTTTATAGTCAGGATTTTTTGATTTACGAGCTCATTACTCCCAAAAGGCTATGTAAGCTATCCTTGTCACTTGTGATCTGGTATTACAAAATTTATAAACACAAAATAGGATTCCACAGTGACATCAAACCTAACTTAAAGCATCCTTTGCAGATGTCCTTTAACATTTAAAATTTTTTTTCCAACTAAAAAAGGATCATGCCTCCTATTCTATAAATAGAATATAGCTGAACAGTTCACTTTTAGTCCTGGGTACTATAAGAACATACTCTTGAGTTTGTTTAATTTTAGGAAAAGTACCAATGTTGAAATAAAAGCTGTAAAGGGTACCCATTTTAACCCGGAACTTAAAAGCATACCCAGGTTGCTGTTTTCAGAATCTTTTGGTAATTGAGTTGATGAAGCTGAACCTACACTTACATCAGACCAGTCGTATCAAAAGTAAAAGACAATGATTTCAAGTCTAAGCATTACCTGGAAACAATAAAAACTGAGATGTGGTATGATTGCCAATGAGACAACTATCCATCAAAGTTCAAATGAAGTGGACATACTTGTATAGTCGTCTCTAAAAGGCCCTGACATGAAAAATATGAAACTATTCAATTGAGAACACTAATGGCTTTATTTATAACAGAACAATTTAGAAAAACAAATATGACAGACATGACTATTTTTTATATGTACCACCTTTGATAAGTATTTAGTATGATGAAAAAAAAATTTCACTTTTGTACTTGAACTATGAATAATAACTTTATTTTATAAAAAATGTTTCTGTACTCCTAACAACAAAATTATTATATTTAAATTTACCTGGCTAGTTTACTTTATTTAATGTCATTTTGTTCTAGGTTAAAGTTGTCTTTTTGACATTGAAACATCTTTTTTATTTATATTGTATCATAGATCAAGCTTATTGGTTCATTGTATATTTACTTGTTTTTGTGTATTGTCTTTTTGATCAAGTTAAGCCATTTCAATTGATATTTTATCATGTGTCTTTTTATGTTGTAATGTTATACCACTGTTTCAGGTTACGGTGAAGGTTGGCGCTTGTTAAAATGTTTAAAGCTGCTGCATTTTTATGCACCTGTCCTAAGTCAGGAGCCTATTGTTCAGTGGTTGTCGTTTGTTGGTGTGGTTCATAAGTGTTTCTCGTTTCTCGTTTTTTTATATTGATTAGAGTTAGACTATTGGTTTTCCTGTTTGAATTGTTTTACACTAGTCTTTTTGGGGCCCTTTATAGCTTGCCTCCGTGTTGAAGGCCGTACTTTGACCTATAATTGTTTACTTTTTACACATTGTGACTTGGATGGATAGCTGTCTCATTGGCACTCATACCACATCTTCTTATTTATATGAACCAACGACAACCACTGAACTACAGGTACCTGACTTCGGAAAGGCACATAAAGAATATGGTGGGGTGAAACAAGTTTGTGAACGCTCCATCCCTCCCCTAACCTGGGAGAGTGGTGTAACAGTACAACATAAGAACAAACTATAAAAATCAGTTGAAAGGTCTTACTTAATTCATTTGATTGATACACAGTAGAAAAATAATAGGCCAAAGTTCTCAATCATCTGGATACTTTTTATCCTTCTGAGTTACCGTGGGTGCTATTATACAAAAACAAATAAATCTAGGTACCATTTGATCTAGTTAAGGACGACAATGACCTGTTTTGCTAGAATAAATGGGTTAAACCAACACAATGGTAATTTTCTCTGTCAATCATTGTTTATATTTAGCTGAATTTGGTATACAGTTGCAATTAAAATAGTAACTCTGTTTTGTTCTGTTTGACATAACTTTCCTCCTTATGAACTTCTGACTGTGGCAATTTCACAGAAATGACAGATATCTTAATTGCTTTTGTACATCTTAATGCATGCTGAGTTGATATTTAAATAATTGTTTAATGTCACCCAAATCCATCTAAGGTCCACTTTGCCAGATCGCCAGATCGAGTTGAAACCTTTTTTTCTTAATAATTTCTGAATTTATTAAAGTTGTCCAATTGTTTTAACTGTTCTTGCATAATTTAAGCCAATATTTGTAAATGTTTGTACAATAAGTAATAATAGATCCTTTATATGGTGGACCTATTTTTGACATATTAACAGATGTTGGTCTTTGGAATTTTCTTGATACTAACAGTTTTCTTCTACATTGAAAAATAGGTCATATTTGGGATTTTGGGCAGTGAGTCACTTACCATTCTAGAGTTATGCCCCTTCATAACTTCGAAAATTGCAAATTTATTCGTTTCCACACTCTAACTAAAGTTTGCCTCATGCAAATTTTATAAAAAATCATACACAATGCTAAGAACCAAAACTCGCAGACAGAGTTCAAATTTGGACAGTGAGTCACTTACCACTCTACAGTTATGCCCCTTTGTAACTTAGAAAATTTCAAATTTTTTCATTTCATCACTCTAACTTAAGTTTGCCTCAAGCAAATTTTATGAAATTAATACTCAAGACTAAGAATCAAAACTCACAGAGTTGGAATTTTGTCAGTGCGTCACTTACTGTTCAAGAGTTTTGCCCCTTTAAAACTTGGAAAATTGCAATTATTTTCTTTTCCACACTCTAACTAGCAGTGACATCAAATGCTCTCAAAGAGTATTATCGCATATTATAAGGAAGCTTGAGAGAGGATTCATGTCCTCAAACATATTCTTCTTTTATTTGAATTTTGTCATATATATTTTGTGTATGACTTCAAACAATTTGCATCTAAGGAAGAAGTGCAAAGACTCACAAAATTATGGCCACATTGTGAAAACTGTCATTGATATTAAAATAAAGGCAACAGTTTTTCCAAAATGATATTTTTCTGCAAGATGTCTTATAGAAGTTGTTTTGAGTAAAAGGTCTTTTTGGGGAATGCAGTTGCTCCTGTTTAAATGACAAAATAACATTTGTAAAATGACAGGTTTGACATGTTAATGAAATCACATTGACAGCTAAAAACAAAAGTTCTGCAGACAATTTTCCCCTATTCATTAATCCAGAAAAAAATCCTAATTGGGGGTACCTAATTTCCTGATTTCATCCTGCCAATGTTACAGCAATTTGAATTTCACTGAATATTCAAATTATGGTTTCCTCCACCAGTGAAATTTACAAAAAATGGTGTCTCATGAATAAAAATGAATCCAGTGGGTGTTGTTAAATTTGGACATTTTCATTTTTTGGAAAAACATTGGACTATTGATTGACTTTGGAATATATTATTGGGGAAAATACAACTTTGGATGCACTATGATGATTAATGTAATTTTGTTCCACCCAAGGTTTAAGCTGAAGCAAGCAGTTTTGAAAAGCTGAGGCAAAAAAAGCAGTTGTTTTTCCTCAGTCAGCCTCTTGTGCCATGATTGAGTTAATGCATTCTGTTCCCATACTTTGTAATGATTATATAACTATACTCAGAGGAATACTTGTCTGAAGCTAAGGCATCTTGTTTGATAATCTTGTTACAGATTTGGAGCAGATAAGTACAATTAACACCAGACCTATTCAACTTGTTTCGGTAACATACTTTTTTAAGCAGAAAGGTCTTGGTTATGCTGTTTGGTTGCATTGTAATGACCTATTTTTTGTTAATCTTTGTGTAATATTTGGTTTTGTTTTTTAATACAAGCACAAAATCCAGAAAGTGTCCTTGTTATAGTTGAAAGTGTTAAAAAAGAGAAAAACTGTTTTTGTTTATCTACTATCTAGAGCATTATTTCAAACACAAATACATATTCATTAAGAATTTATTTCAATAACTGTGGAATCACTGTAGTAAAAAATACCTATTTTTCTAATGAAAGAAGGAAAAAAGAAGAGAAATCAATACGATGTTGTGTTTCAAGGTAATAAATGTTATATAATGTTGCAGTATAAGCTTTTTTATCATCCTGAGACCTAAATGCATATATATATATATATATATGTAATTAATTTTGAATGAGAGAGATTTGATTGGAAACGAGGAGAAGTTAGGGTAGTAATTATACAAACAGGATAAAGTGAAAAGGATCGACAGACAATAAATGAAGCATTAAATCGCTGGAGTTATAAAATATAAGCAATAAATAGTTAGTTGACTTAATGTTGAGAGTGCATGTATACCCTGTGGATTAGCACAACATTTTTGAACTTGTGTAAATTCTTTATTATCCATTTTTTAAGATCGTATTATTTTTTTTGTTTTAATTGTTGGTTGCATTGCATGCTTTGGCAAATGTTTCATGCATATTGAGAAGGATATATGTTTTGAAATCATGAAATAACATCAGGTAGCTATTTTGCTTCTATCTTATATTGTTATATTTCAACAATATTCACAATTGAAACTTTCTGGTTGCCAATCGGCAATTAACAAATTAGCAGATTGAGTAAAAAAGATGCAAGCAAATGCTGCATGACTGTTATCTGTATTGTAATGAATCTCATTGAAATGAATAGAACAATTTGATGATGCTCCATGTTAGGAGAGAACCATTAAAAAACCTTCTCACCAACACTAAAGAGGGTTCAGTTGGTTGCGTATTGCAAAGTGAAATAAAATTTATTTCCCAAAACACCCTTATTTTCAGGCACAATAAGTTTCCCATTTTCTCTCAGTTCACAGACTTTTCAGAACTTTGATAATTCATTTATTGTTGTTTATTTCATTGATTCTTGTTTTGAATATGCTTGAAATATTTTGCCACAACAAGTTAGTAAACGCAA